CCTGCCGTTGTGTGTGGCAGGTTGTGGGTCTGGCGGACACGCGCACCTTCTTCGCCAATCTCAAGTGCATCTACATCTTCAGAGTGAGCCACATGCGTGCCACACTCCCCTACGCTGCGCTCGCTGCAGCTCCCACTTTCACCGTGTCCTTTCACGTCTCTCCGTCTGCATCCGCGTTCTCCTGACTGCATCAAGCTCCCAACCTCCTTCTTCATCCCTCTCGCACCCATGCCAATCCGCGCCCATCCATGTGCGTGGGTGCGTGACAGCTGCTGGAGTGGGAGTCGCTGTCGGTGGACCTCATACCGCACCCGGACATGTTCCACGCATCGCTCGACATCTCCGCCACCAAGGACGCCCACAGCCGTGATGGGGACGGCGCCAAGCGTGCCTTCTTTGGCGGGGAGCGCTTCGTCGACGACATCAGAGGCCGTGCATGCGTGCGATCTCCCCGCCCTCCCCGCCCTCCCCGCCCACGTGCTGCCGCCTGTGCCCATCCGCCGTCTCTCACACCTCACCATGCCCCTCTGCTGCTCCACTGCAAGCCCTTGCCGTCCCCACCTCTCCCCCTCTCAAGGCGGCCGTTGACCCCCATGTGCATGCATGCATGTGTGCGCGCGTGCAGATCACGATGCACCGCACAGAGCTGAACAACCCGCTGGGCCTGGAGGTGGACCTGCAGCTCTCAGAGGCCAACGTGCCCGCCCTCACCGAACCAGGCACGTGCCCCCACATGCCCACATGCCCACATTTCCCCACGCCCACATGCCTACATGTCCCCATGCCCACATGCCCCCATGCCCACATGCCCCCATGCCCACATGCCCCCATGCCCACATGCCCCCGTGCCCACATGCCCCCATGCCCACATGCCCCCGTGCCCACATGCCCCCGTGCCCACATGCCCCCATGCCCACATGCCCCCGTGCCCGCATGCCCCCATGCCCACATGCCCCCGTGCCCGTATGCCCCCGTGCCCGCATGCCCCCATGCCCACATGCTCCCATGCCCACATGCTCCCATGCCCACATGCCCTCATGCCAGCATGCCCGCATGGATGTTCTCCACATGTTCCTGTGCCCATGTTCTGGTGAGCACGCTATTTCTCATGTGCCAGAAACAACATACCCCCCCCCCCCCCACGCCCCTGGTGTGGCGTGTGTGTGGTGTGCAGGGCTGCGGGCGCTGATGCGCTTCATGACGGGCATGTACGCGTGCCTGCTGCGCTCCGACCTCACCGACATGAGCCAACTGGCAAGCCACAACGCTCACTCCACTCCCTCTGACCGCTCTCACTCTTGTTCTTTCTCGTTCCTCCTATCCCCTCCTCTCTCTCCCCTCCTCTCTCTCCCTATCTTCTCTGCTTCTCTCTCCTCTCTGTGTGAGCTTCCCTCCCTTCACCTTCAACGCCTGCACATCTCGGCGTGCCATGCCATGACTGTTGAGGCGTCTCCAAGCCATGGCGCCCCTCCCTTGCATTGCGTGTGTGGTGACGGCAGGGCCCAGAGACAGCAGGTCGTGTGCTCATCTCGCTCACATTGGAGCGCCTCTTCATCCGCATCCAGGAGGAAGGTCGTGCGCTGGACCCCCGCACATGCGCTCTCACACACGCACTCACTGCCTCACTCGCTAATGCCCTCACTCCGTGCTTTCCCTCCTTTGATCTGCGGTTTAATGGTTCAGCTGTGAGCAGCAGCGTGGGCATGGCAGACCTAGGTGCATTCTCACCTGGTGCATGCTGCGCACTGCATGCTGTGCCATGTCTACGGATTCCTGACCTACAGTTCCGCCCCCTCACACCCTCTGTCATGTGTCCCTGTGCATGCATCCATGCCACCCACTCCCCCAGACTACCAGCTGGAGCTCGTCCTGCAGTCACTCAAATACGTCCAGGTAATGCCCAGCCCCACCCCATGCCCCTCCGCCTCGCCCTCTCCGCCTCACATCACATCGCCTTGCTGGCCTAGTCATCTGCACGCACACGCCCTCGGCGTCACCCTCGTCCTGCCATTTCCTCCCCCCCGCAGGGCAGTGCGTCAGAGCCGGACGGCGCCACGGTGGGCAACATGGTGCGCCTCTACCTCGGCCAGCTCTTCCTCACGTGAGACGGGGGGGGGGAGGAGAGGGGGGGGGGGGAGGAGAGGTGGGGGTTTGGGGGTGAGGAGGACACACACATGCACCCTTGTGCCACGCTACTTCCCTGCCTCATTCTCCCTCTCGCTTTCCACTCCCCACTGCCTCCCTACCTTGTCATCTCTGCCTATCCTTCTTTCTATTCTCTCCCCCCCCCCCCACACCCGTGCCTGCCATGCATATGCACAGACACGCACTCACACCCACTGGCAGCGACTATGCACCCGCCAAGCTCGCACCATCTCACATTCCCCCAACCCCTCTCCCCTCCCCCCTTCCCCCCGTGCGCCTGCCAGGGACACCTTCTCGTCGCCCCCGGTGGCGCTGCTGCAGCCGGTGCAGGAGCACGCGAGCAGCGACGTGGAGCGCGTGCCATCGTTCGCCAGCGAGCACGTGTGGCCGCGCATCTACCCCGTGGACGACGACGACGACTGCCTGCCCCCGCCCTCCATGTTCCGCCTCTTCTCCGCCTTCTCCCTGCCCCCCGCCCCGCCCCCCGCCGTCGCCTCGCAGCTCGTCATCCGCTGCGACCCCCTGCAGGTGCACGCCGCGCTCACCAGCCAGGGACAGGGACGGGAAAGGGGGGAAGGGGGGGGGGAAGGGAGCTGAAGAGTTTTTTTGTGTGTTGTAAGCTACGTCTTTGTAATGGTGTGAGGCATTGTACACAAGACAGCGTAGTTGGTAGACACATTCTGCTGCTTGCCTCGTCCATGGCTGCTCCGTATGAAGCTCACATGTCCTCTGACTGCTGCTCCCCCCCCCCCCCCCCTCCACAGATCAGTCTCCAGGAGGAGTCGTGCTTCCGCATTGCGTCGCTGGTGGCGGATGGTCTCATGGTGCCCCAGGCGGACAGCGCCCCCCCCGCACCGGCGCTGCGCTACCTGCTCTTCATGCTCGACGGGCTGCACCTCTCCCTCTCCGTGCCGCCTGCCGCCTTCGCCCCGCCCTCGCCCTCTCCCACCAGCCCTGACTCGCCCTCACAGCAAGAGGTGGGGGCGGTGGAGGAGGCGCGGTTCACGGGGGCGCGCGTGCAGGTGGCGGGGTTCAGTGCGATGCTGGACGCGTTCATGCCCTTCGACCTGCTCAACGTCGAGCGCGACGCTGCGTGCTTTGCGCTCTGGCCGGGGCAGCCCGTGGACGCGGGCCAGCTGCGCCTCGCCGTGTGGGCCGACCTGCTCTCAGTGTCGCTTGACGTGGGGGGCGGCCAGGGAGACGATTGGGGGGTTGCCAGGGGTATAAGACGAGGCGAGCGGGGGGGTGGTGATGACGACGATGCGTGGGCGTCGTCCCCTGTGTCATACGAGGGGCAGTCGCGCCTGGCGGCGGCGGCTACCCAGCAGCTGCAGTGTGTGTGCATCAAGGACCCGCGCCTGGAGCTCGCCATGCTCTCGCACGACGGCAAGCCCATCATGCGCATGCCTCCGCCGGGCGGCACTTTTCGGCTGGGCGTGGCGAGCCAGGAGGTGACGTGCAACACGTCGCGCGTGCAGCTGCTGTTCGTGCTGCGCATGGCGGACTACCTCACGCGCGTCAGCCGCGCTCTGGTCAAGGTGGGCAAGGGCAACCAGCGCGTCACCGACCCCTCCAAGGGCCTCTCCGCGCTCGTTGACGCTGCCACCGCCACAACACCCACCAGCAGTGCTGGCGGCGGCAGCGCAGCGGCATCAGCGCTGTCGGAGCTGGCGGCGCTGGCCCCCGGCGACAGTGCGGTGTCGCTGGCAGTGGACGCGCTCAACCTGCGCATGCTGGAGTCGGGGGCGACAGGAGGCACTGATGGCGGGGACGAAGGCGCCGTGCTGTCGCAGCTGGTGGGGCGCGGCATGACCATGAAGGTCACGCACCAGTCGCTGGGTGGCGCTGCTGCCACGTCATCCAGCATCACGTGGCAGAGCATCCGCGTGGAGTGTGTAGAGACAGAGGAGGTCGCAGGGGGGCCCGCGCCACCACCTGCACCAGGGCCTGATTCACCGGCAACCCCAACTGCAGGCGCTGCTCCGCGCATGCGGGCGGTGCTGTGGTCGGGCGACGGCGACAGCGACATGGACGCGCTGGCGCGCACCGGCACCATGAGCGCCCCCGACCCTTCCTCTGCCGCTGGGCTGGCCCTCCCACGGTCGCCGTCCAGCAGCGGTCCTGCGGTGCCATTCCTGCACGTGGCGGTGCTGCACGTGCTGCCGTACGACAGCAGCGACGCCGCCTCGCACTCGCTCACGGTGGAGGCCAAGGTGGGCGGCGTGCGCCTCAGCGGTGGGTGGAGCTACAACGAGGCGTTGCTGCGCCGCTTCGGCGTGCTGGATGGCAGCACGGGCGGCCCTGGGGCACACGTGGTGCAGCTGCTGGACGTGGTGGAGCGCAGCGAGGCTCTGCGCCTCCTGCTCGCCTCAAGCACTGAGGAACCATCCGCCTCTACACCTGTTGGTGTGCGCCGCTGCATCCCTGCTCAACTGCCTTCATTCCACACTCGCAGTCGCGCCCTTGCTCCCATATTTCCCCTTTTGTGTTCCCTCTCGTGTTCCCTGCCCATCCTCTCCTGTTCATCTCGCCTCCTCCCACACTCACACCACTGCCTCATGACTCTCTTCCCCCTTGCATTGCCCCTCTAATCTCTGTTGCGCCAACGCCAGCAGCGGCGGACCCAGCAGCAGCGTGGGAGGTGGCGCTGCCACAGGAGATGGACGTGGACGTGCAGCTGCTGGACTGGCTGTTCGCGCTCGAGGGCGCGCACAAGGCCTTCGTCGCCCTGCCCACCAGCGCAGCGCACGCGGTGCAGCGACGAGAGGACCTGTCGTGGCACTCCACGTTCCGCATGTTCCGAGTCACGGCGCACAGCAACCCCGCCAATGACGCCGACAGGCGCACCGGCACCAGGCACCGCCCGCCCCTTGCGCCGGGCAGCAACCCCGTGGCCAACATCGCGGTACTCCGATGTCCCTGCTGCTGCTCGCGCACACCCCGCTTGCTCCGTTTTGCTCTTTTGTGCACCTCCCACTCGTGCTGCAAATCACTTTTCCTGTGCCATCACATGTTGCGCTCCCCGTCTCTTCGCCTGTGTGCTTTCCTCCCCCCTGTGCGGCCCGGCAGATCCGCGTGGAGGGCATTCAGGCGTTCAAGCCGCGCATATTCGACGCATCGGATGCACCAGCGTGCTCGCCGTCAGTGCGCCCCTCTGCTGTCTCTGTGTCTGCCTCCGACTCCTCCCTCGAGCTCTCCACCCACCCCGCCCCCACGTCGCCCTCCTCCCGCCCCATCTCTCGCTCCGCCTCTGATGCGCCCCTGCCGCTGCACGCATCCCTTGCACCCCCTGCAGCAGCAGCAGCAGCGCCTTATCCCTCGCGGTCGTCGGCGCGCAGTGGGCTGGACCTGGAGCTGCGCCTCGCCTCCCTGCCCGCGCCTGATGCCGCCTCGCCAAGCGCAGAGGCAGGGGGGGCGCACAGCGAGGCAGGGGAGACATGGGTGGTGAAGAGTGTGCAGATGGCGGTGCAGGAACCCGTGAGTGCCGTGCCATGGGCTGCTCTATGCATGCCTTACCATGGGTACCATGCCATTGGATGTCTCGTGCTATGTGTGGGTGTGTGTGTGTGATGCCCCCCTCTGTCCGCCCGCCTGTGTGCCAGGTGACGGTGGAGGCCACGAAGGAGGATCTGCAGCACCTGCTGGACGTGTGCAAGATGGAGCTCAGCGCCGCCAGCCGCATTGCTGTGGGCGGGCTCATGCTGCTGAGGGAGCGAGGCAGCAGCATCGTCACACAGGCCACCATCGATCAGCTCGTCCACTTCGGTCTGCCCTCACCCACGCACCGTGCCTCCCTGCTTCCCCTCCCTCTCTGCCTCTCATCTTCGCCCACCAGCTCCCAACCCTCCCATCCCTCTTCTCGCATTCTCTTTTGCCATCTGTACCTCTCCCCCCAGTTCAGGGTTCCTCCCTGCTGTGCCTTCCCCTCATCCACGTAGCCTTCCTTCACCTAACCCTGCATCACGCTCCTCGCTGCCCTCTCCTCGCCCCCTCCGTGTGCGGCAGGCAAGCGGCTGGTGAGTGGCGATGAGTCGCTGGCGTCGCTGGCGCAGGCGGTGCAGGAGGTGGCAACGGACAACCTGGCTGCGGACGCAGCGGCGCACGTGGCAGCGCGCGAGCAGCAGGTGCTGCGCGCCACCACACGCATGCACGCCCTTGCCACGCAACTGCAGGCGCAGCTGGACGCAGCAGAGAGCGGAGGGGAGGGACTGAGAGGCATGAGAGGGGATGTTGAGTCGTTGCTGGCAGAAATAGAGACGGTCAAGGGCATGCTGGCACAGGCAGGTGCCAAGGGGAGTTAAGAGGCATCCAGCAGGAGTGGTCAGTGCGACTTTTCAACTGATGTGTGTAGAGTTTTTACCGATGATGGCTAGCATCATAGGTTTGTGGTGGAAGCTGTAGGCGAAGATGTGGCCTGTGGAAGAACTACCTGTGTAGATTGCCCTTCATGCGAAGTGGTACTGTTAGTGCCAGTCTAGGTGTGTTGACTCACTAGCTTATGAGCAGTAATTTACAACTACTTGGTGCCTTAGATGCTGATGTTCGTGGCATGTACCATTTGCTTTGGACATTGCCATACCGTACCACGATTTGCATTGCTTCGTTTGTGTTGGCTGCCAGAGCTCATTGGAACTGCAGCTTGTTGGACCTAGCCCCAGTGAAATTTTGATGAGGACGACATTTGTGGGAAAGGCAATGGTACATAATGGCCAGACAGAGTGGAGATTCGGGAAAGTTGGAAGTGTGCGGGATGAAGAGAGGAAAGGGTGCGAGCGGCGGGTCTTGCTCAGAGGACAGAGGATAAAAGAAGGCAGAAGCAGACGCGGCCGCCCTTGCTGTGACTGCCACTCACGTCAACACGTTTGCCAGCTGCAAAAGAACCCTCCAAGGTCATAACACCTGCCTCGAATCAACAGCTCAACGGAGCTCTGGTTAACACATGCATTGTGTGACTCGGGCCTGGCATCTTTGGAGAGAGGGCTCTTCTCAGGTGCAATGCATACTTGCAAATAACGCAACACGATACAAACAGGCTGCATACAAAGATGAAATGAAAGGGGTACATCCTTCAAACCTCACGATGGGAAAGGACAAACAAGTTGTCAAGCAAGCGGTGCTGAGGGTGCGTTGCAGCCCAGCAACCACGTGTAGCGTCCTAGTCGTTGCACGGCGCGCGTCTCATTTAAGCGCAGGCACCGTGGCCTCGAGAATGCCTTTGAGCTTGGCGGACGTGAGCGCGCCCTCGATGTGACCGCCGGGCACGACCTGGCCCTTGTCGAAGATGACGACGGACGGCAGCCCGTACACCTTGTACTGCTCCACCAGCTTCGGACACGCGTCCACGTCGATCTTGTACACCTGCAGCCGCCCCGCGTACTCCTGGGAAAGGCACGCGTGAAAGGGACGGCAGCGGAGAGAGGGATGAGGGGAGGGGGAACGGGGCGTGGGGGAAGGTAGGGCGGAGAGCGCAGTGGTGGATGCGGAGGCGGGAGGCGAGCGGGAAAACGTCGACAGGCGCGGCACTGGGAGGGTCGAGAGAGGCGATGGGACGGAGAGAAACAACGTGAGAGGACGAGCACGAGGGCGGCTGACGTGTGTCTACGACCTGACTTCCCCGATCCACGTGAGAGTCACCTCCCCTGGATGGAGCCGCAAATCTGCGGCAATAGCGGTGCGTAAGAGGCGTGACGTAGGCAGTGCACATTCGACTCATCAACGTAGCGCACCTCGTAGCCGTTCGTCGCTTCGACTTTAGTATACTGCAGCTCTTGAGGTATTTGTCTTGGTGCCCGAGTGATGCAGTGTTAAACTTTCGAACCATCTCACAAAATGGATATGCATCCATGGGAAATTACTGTTGGCATTCGGCAGTGCGTGTGTAGTCCGCGTGTTCGGTCCAGCCAAGCGAGCGGGCAAGAAAGGCGTACCTTGGCGGCCCAGTCCATGACAGGCGCGATCAGTCGGCACGGGCCGCACCACTTGGCGCAGAAATCCACCAGCACTGGAGATTCCGCCTCAAGCACCTTCGCTGTGAAATCGCTCTCCGTGATCTCCGCTACTCCCGCCCGAACTTGAAGCCTCGTGACTCGCGTAGATGCAGATAGACTTTTCTGTGCTTGTGAGGAAAGCGAAACGAGGCCTCTTCTGGATGGCAGAAAAGAGCATGCCGACTTCAGAGAGGGCTGCACCGCGACAGAAGATACTCTGGCGCATGGCGCGCTGTGGAGTACGACTGAACTAGTGAAGGTTGCCATGGTGAGTGACTTCGGGTTGTCAAAGCAAGCAAGCAGGCAAGCGGGAACGTTGAGGAGCTGGAAGCGAATAATGCTGTGCGGGAAGCTACATCTGTCCGCGTGGGACTAGCCTTTCATTCATGTGCCTTGCGCCCTGCCTGTCTCACCTCGAATTCTCCCGCACAGCCCCCATCAGCGCGGGAGGACTCCAAGGTCGTGGCAGGGGACGAATGCGAAATGAATCTGGATGTCACCGAGCTGAGCTGGCGGTCACCCGTGGCGCGAGGTGATGCTGGCTGGTGGTTTGGGCCATGTTTTGAGAAGGAAAGGACCTTCGGTTTGGCGGTGTTCCCCAGGGTTACCACTGGCCGTACTGCCTTCCCGATGTTCTTGTACTGTAAGTTGTAACCTCACTCCGTTGCTGGGGTGGTGCAAACGACGTGGCAGAAGACACGTGGCATCTAATGCAGTCCAATGAAGCTTTGGCCACGTGTAGATCGCAGATGGATTCAAATGGTACAGCGGGGCAAGGGAGAGATTCGATTTGCTAGTTTATATATTCTCCTTACTGAATAAAGTTCACCTAAGAAGAAAGATAGCCACAAAGTACATGTTTCCAAGCACAACCTTTCCGTTTGTATAAGGTTGCATTCACAAGCACACAACGCAACGGCATTGGTTGCGTCGCAATACCATCACATTCCACATATCACATCTTGAAGGCATTAAGCATGCTGTTCATGCCAATGGTTCGTGAGTGTCGGCCGTACTAGAGGCCACCTCAATCGCCCACCATCGTAAGCGATGCTTTTTTAGAACACGAGTCGTTCCATATGCTACTGAAGTACGGGCTAGCAACTGGGAATGTCGTGCCGTGCCCTGAACAATACTAATGCACCTGCTCACCCAAGCTAAGCTACGGCCGTGACTGTTGCTCACATGCACGCAGCAGGGCCAGCAGCTTCATAGCCTGCACAAGATGGTTGATGGACAGGGAGGGACTGGAATTACAGGAAGCGTGCACAACAACCACCAGGTTTGCAAATCAAGTGTGGTGCATGACACATCAGGGTGTATAATAATCTCCTCTACCATACACCAGCAGAAAGCACTCACCTTGTCTCGAGAGCGGCCCGTGGACCCTTCAGCAAGCACGACAAGAGAAGGAATTATGCCTTCCTGGAAGATTCTCTGCCGTGTGGCGGTGATGGTGAGTGCGAGCTGCAGCAGCACAGCCACCACGTGGGCCTGCATGGCTGCATCGCCGTCCTCCAGCGCCTGCACCAGCACGGGGACGCCATGGTTGCCATCCACCACGTGGCACACTGCCGGCACGCGCACCATCACTGCCAGCAGGGCAGCAGCAGGCATGTGCGCGGGGCTGGAGCCTTGGTCGGACAGCAGGGCGAGAACTCGGGGGACAAGGTCGCGCCGCAGCAGCACAGCTTCACGTGTGTGCGGGTCGATGCTGAGGTTGAAGAGGCCGATGAGCGCATCCTTGTGGATGCGCGGCCCCTTCCGTTCCTCCCTCACGATCTCTGCCAGCAGCCCCGTGGCGCCCATCCCCGTGGCCACCCTGCGGTTGCTCTCCTCCGCCAGCAGGCTGCTCACCGCCGCCACAGCTGCATCACACACCGCCTCCTCGCGCGACTGCAGCAGCGACAACAGCTGCGCCACAGCTGCTTCGCCTCCCAGCCTGCGCTTGAGGGCGGGTTCAAGAGCCAGGTTGAGGGTGATAAGGCACGCCGTGCTCACCACGTGTGGCGGGTGCACTCGTTCGTCCAGCAGGCGCAGCAGCAGCTCCGCCACCCCTGCGTCTGCCAGCATGATACGCGCACTCGATGACTCCCGTGACACCTCCCTCACCACGCCCAGACACTCCCCCAACCCCCCACGCTGCTCCCCCTTGCGCCTTTTCCCAGCTGCCTCATCCCCCTCCGCTCCCAGCCCGCCCTCTTCCATCACTAGCCCGTTGGCTCTACTCTCTCCTCCTCCCTGCCCCCTACTTCCTCCCCTGCTTTGCTCTGCACCACCCTGTGACCCCTCTCTTGGCCCATCCCCATGCACACCAACCACGCACCTCTCACTACCCTCACTACCCTCCCTGCCCTCCATGCCATGCTCCCCCGCAACCCCCACGCCATCCCTCACCCCGCACCCACCGCTGCTTCCCTCCGCTGCTGCAACGCCTCCACTCGCCTCCCTCCCCACTACTTCACCCTCCCCCGCCTCCACGCCACTCCTCACCTCGCTCTGCTCCTCGCCGCCTGCCCGCCCTCCCCCGATCACTTCCCCTTCACCACCCTGCGCCCCCTGCCTGCCCGCCGATTCTGCCCCCATTGCACCCCTCAGCGCCTCAACGACATCCGCAATGCGCTGCCCCTCCCCGTCACTTGCGCCGCTCACAGCCGCCTCCAGCTCCTCCGCCCACAGCATCCCCCCGGACGACACTGACCTGCTACGCGCCACCACGTCCCCCCGCGGGCTCCCCCCCCTGCTGCTCGCTGCGCTCCACTGCTGCACGCCGCCCGCTGAGCCCGCGCCTTGCACGGCGGGCGACACGCCTAACGCCAGTCCGCTGATCCCCGCCGTCCACCCGCAGTTCCCACCCCCGCTGCCTCCGTGACTTGCCTTCCCCTTCGCCACACCTGCCTCCGCCACACTAGAGCCGCTTGCGCTAGCGAAGGGCTGTGCACCCTGAGGGGGACGATGGCGGGAGGCAGCGCGGATGTCGGGGCTAGGCATCAGGGGGGTGAGATACCCCGTGGACCAATCAGGGCTCGGCATGTAGCCCGCGAGTCCCGCCCCCGCGCCAGGCGCAAATGCGCTGCTGCCGGCCACACGGGCGCACGGGCTGATGCCAGCGGGGCTACCCAGCGGACTCCACAATCCGCCGCGCGCACGAGACGCGCCTGGCGTGACAGCCGCTGCGGCGATTTCCTGGGCTCTCCGGCTCTGCACAGCGGCCACGTCCAGCAGAGGCAGGGCCGCCTCGCCCAACGAGTTGCTGCCGCCGGGCTTTTCCACGCCGTCCGGCGACAGCGACGCCGCCGCTGCTGGTGGTGCTGGTGGTGGTGGTGGTGGTAGGGCGGCGTGCTGGGGTGGTGACTGTTGCAGCGGTGACGGCTGTGGTGCGGCGAGGGGTACGAGATCTGCGCCGCTAGTCCGACAACCGACGTTGCCCACGTGGCGCGGCGAAACCACGGCAGCAGCAGCAGACACAGCCGCCTCGTGTCGCCTCTCGCCCGCGCCCTCGGCACGCCCGCCTGCGCCGCCACGAGGAACGGCCGTTGCGCTCCCCCACTCCGCTTCACCTCCGGTCAACTGGGCGGCCGCGTCGCAGGGAGGCCTATTACACTCCTCAACTCGACACTCCGCTGCGCCTCTCTCTTCCGCGCACCTCTCGCCGCCCTGCCGCTTCATCGCGACATTTGCCCTTGCGCCTTGCGCGTGCTCAGCGCAAGTAGCTTCAGTGGCTGCCGCCGCACGAGACGGCTGCTGAGGCAAAGCGGAGGGGCACGCGGAGAGGGGGCGGAGGGGAGGAGAGGGCGCGAGCAACGAGGGCGATGCCAGGCGATCATCGCTATGTGGCGTGGCAGCATGCGAAGAGTGCCCATTCACGGAACACGAGTCAACGCGGCTTCGGGCGAAATTAGACAGGCTATTTACATGAGGTGACGTGGCAGGTGGTGAATGGCGTGTGGCCTGCCCTGCTGCCGTATCTGACGGTTGAGCCGCCCCTACGCGCCCCGTCGCGGGCGGTGTGTGCGCCCATATGGGGCAGCGCACCATCATCCGCGCCCATCGAACATTACCCTCCCCCGCCATGCACGCTCCGCCGACACCTCCTTTCCCCGCGCGTGGTTTTGGCGGCGACTCTCTCATGCGCGGGGTCGAACCGCCATGGTCGCGCTGGGTCGTGTGGAATGACGGGGGAGCAGACGCTGGCCCGACCGCAAGCGGTGGCATGTTCCGCGGGGGAGAGCAGCGGGGCGACACGTCAGGTCCGCCAACGATACGACATGTGACGACGGGAGAACGCGAGAGACGAGGATTCACGTGTGCGTGGAGTGAGACGAGTCACGACTCACGACTCACGAGATGGCGGGAAGAACAGAGAAGGCAGGGCAGTGATGCAGGGAAGGGGAAGGGACTTGTGGTTCACCGCCTCTCGTCCTCTGCGAGCCCTCCAGTCGTGTAACGCGGTTCAACAATCGCACGCGTTCCAAGGCCGGGGGGCAGGAAGGTGGGGGCCACCTTCGCGCCCAGTGCGTCAGCTTCCCTTCTCATGACAAGTCCCGTGTGAAAACACGGGCGGCAACAGTAGAAGTTAAAGCCCGGATCCCAAGTTACAAGCCGCGAAAAGAGAGCGCGACTTGGACTCGAGAGAGAGGCTTGCTATTGGATACGAGGGTGACGAGAGCCCGAAGTCTGGATATTTGTTTGCGAGACTCGCAGATGCAAATTGTACTTCGCAAACCAAAGCTCAAACAAGGTTGGGAAAGGAAAATGTTATGAATAATAACTAAGTGCACGAAATAATAATGGCAAGTACAAGAATGGGAGCCTAGCATTAAATAGTGAGAATTCTAGCTAGGTGACAAGCCCAGAGGGCTAGGTTGGGTACAGGCGCGAGCCAGCGTCGTGGTCGCGTCGGAAACGGACCGAGCCTGGTCTTCGAGAGTTCGGGTGTATGCGATTGCAGTACAACACGGCAGGGCTTGAGAAGTCAGGACAAAATGCCATGAAATGCTGTATATCAGGGTGTTTTTTCAGGGTTGTCCTGTTTTTTCAGCTTTTGATTTTTCCTAGGAATGAATTTCAGGGGTTCTCATTTGAGCAGGCCTGCAATATTGTATGTTCTTGTTTTGGTCACCATGAATTATCAGCCTTAACGGATTTCTTGTCAAACATAACTTAGTATGTTATTGTAGACTGTATAGGTTTGTGCCTTAGAGGGTACAACACACTAGCCTATATTCCCTAGTACCCTCTCATTCTAGTACACTTCTTGCCTTCTAACATGGGTATCAAAAGTAGGTTAGGTCCCATTCGCCCACCAGCGCTTCCGCCCTAGGTCCTAGCCGCCTGTTCCCCCTAGCCGGCCCGTTCCCCTAGCCGACCCGTGCCCATCCCCTAGCCGGCCCGCGCGCGTTCCGTAGCCGGCCGGCACTCGTCCCCTAGCTGGCCCGCGCCCGTTCCCTAGCCGTCCGGCGCCCGTCCAATAGCCGGCCCCGCGCTCGTCCCGTCACCCAGCCCGCGCCCGTCCCATAGTCGGCCCGCGCCCGTCCCGTAGCCGGCCCCGCGCCCCTTCCGTAGCCGGCCCGCGCCTGTCCCGTAGCCGGCCCCGCGACCGTCCCGTCACCGGCCCACGCCCGTCCCGTCACCAGCCCGCGCCCGTCCCGTAGCCGGCCCGCGCCCGTCCTGTAGCCGCCCCGCGCCCGTTTCGTAGCCGGCCCCATGCCCGTTTCGTAGCCAGCCCGCGCCCGTCCTGTAGTCGGCCCCGCGCTGCATTTTGACGCGGAGGGTCAGCCGATCGAGTTCGACACATGGCTCATCGACCTCTGCCGTCAGCTCACTGGTCAGCGGCAGGACGGCCGCTCCTTGGCTGTCCACATCGATGGTACGCTCCCCTGCCCTGACCCCCCTGCTGCGCTGCCCGCTGACCCCACCTCTGCGGATCGTGAGTCCGCTGCCGCTGCTGCCCTTGCCCGCGCTGTCTGGTTGTCGCGTGACGCTGTCGCACAGCTTGCACTCAGTCATGCCCTTCCCCTGTTTGAGCGTCCCAGCTTTAGGTCGGTCAAGACCGCGCAACAGTTCCTAGAGGTTGTTATTGCGCGTTATTCCACCCCGTCCTCTGCCTCCGTCGGTCGCCTGATCCTGCCCCTGCTTTTTCCTGATCTCGCGTTTTTCCCCACTGTCGCTGACCTAGCCGCCCACTTGCGCACACTAGACTCGACCTGGCGCTCTGCCTGCACTGAGGCCCAGCTCCGCGTGTTCCAGCCCCCCCTCTGCGCTACCCTCTACCTGCTTTCCACCCGCCTCCCTGACCGCCTTGCTACTGCCCGCGATCGTTTTCTTAGTCTCCACCCTACAGACCTCACCCTCACTGACTTTGTCGACACCCTGTCTGCCATAGAGTCCCGCCAGCGCTCCATCGCCCAGTCCAGCGGTACTGTGCCGGTCTCTATCTTTCAGGGCCGTGCGCCCGCTCAGTGCACTTTCTCTGACGGCTCTGTTGCAGTGGTTGAGACAGCCGCTGTAGCGCAGTTCCATTTGGGAAAGGGCCGCCTCCCCAAGGCTGGGCGTGGCGGTGGTAGTGGAGGAGGTGGGGGTGGAGGAGTTGGTGGAGCCGGGTCGCCCACTGGGGGTGCTGACAAGGGCGCTGGGCCTGGCACCGCCGAGCAGCAGTCTCCGCAGCAGCAGCAGGCTCCACCGCTGGAGCAGCAGCCGCCGCAGCCGCAGCAGTCACAGCAGCAGCAGCGGCGGGTTGGTCGTCTCCCGCCCGGGTGGCCCGGCGCTAGTGGTGGCGGCGGTCGCGATGGTCGTGTACGTGGCGTGATGTCGGGTAGTGGTTCGGTTGACGTGCACTGCCAGTACCAGCTCCAGACCGGTCCTCGCCGTGGCTTCGTCTGCGGTGAGATCGGTCACACCCCCAGCCGCTGTTTCCGCCGCTTGGAAGACCTGTTCTGTCTTCGCTTCGGCCCGTCACCCGACCTCCCCGACTGGCTTAGCTTGCTCCGTCGGGGTGTTCAGATCTTTGATATGGACATGGATGAGATTTAGTTCTGCATTGTATGTGCTGTATGTCGATGACTCTAGTGTGATTGGTTCCGCTTACCCCGTGTTGCCTTGCGTAGGTGTGCCTAGTTTAGACTCCCCTGCTGCGACATGCATAGGATCCCTTGCTTTCTTTAGCCTAGGCTCCTCTCTCGCTTCTTCGGCCCCTGCCGCCACTGCCGCGCTGTCCTTCACCCTTGACTCCGGCGCTTCCCGATGCTTCTTCCGAGACTGCACTACTCTCACGCCGCTTGCCGCTCCCGCCGCAGTTTTCCTGGCTGACTCTTCCTCAGGCCTTGTTGTAGCTCGTAACTCTAATACCCTTCCCTGTCCGGCGGCTCCTTCGGGCTCACTTACAGGCCTGCATATCCCCTCGTTCTCTAGGAACCTAGTTGGTGTTGCCTGCCTTCAGAACCTTGGCGTCACCATTACGTTCCTTGGTCACGAGCGGTACGCTGTTTGTACCGAGGCCACCACTGGTGCTCCCCTCACCACGTTCCTCCGGGACCCGGTGTCCGGCCTGTTCACGCTGGACACCGCGCCCCTGTCGGTTGGGACGTCTTCCCAGGTGATTGTGTCTCCTCATGTAGCTGCGGCTTGCTCGTGTCGGTCGCTTACTCACCCGACACTAGTGTGGCACCACCGCCTAGGCCACCCTGCCCTCCCTCGCCTTCGTCATATGTCTCAGCATGGTCTTATTTTAGGTCTTCATGGGTCATTCCCTGCGCTCCCGTCCTCACCCGCGCCGCCGTGCACCCCCTGTGTCAAGGGCCGGCTCCGCCGTGCCCCTCACTCCTCCTCGTTCCCCCCCACCACCGCATCCTTGGAGACCTTGCACATGGACGTCTGGGGCCCTGCCCCCGTCCATGGGTCGCGTCGTAAGCGTTACTTCCTCGTCCTTGTTGACGACTACACTCGTTACATCACCGTGTTTCCCCTAGAGCGGAAGGCCAACGTGCCTGATGCTCTTATCCCGTGGCTTGTCTCTGCGCGTGTGCACCAAGGTCTCCCTGTGTTGCGTCTCCACTCTGACCGCAGTGGCGAGTTCGCCTCTAGTTGCCTCGATCATTTCTGTTGTGCAGAGGGCATCACCTAGACGTTCACCTTGCCGGACTCCCCGCAGCAGAATGGGGTCGCTGAGCGATGCATTGGTTTGGTCATGGAGGTGGCTCGTACCTCCATGATCCATGCCAGTGCACCCCATTTTCTGTGGCCGTTCGCCATTTGCTACGCCGCTCACCAGCTTAACCTGTGGCCGCACCCTCAGCGGCCGCAGGTTTAGCCAACCCTCCTCTGGACCGGGTCTCCTGGTGACGCGTCTGCGTTCCACGTCTGGGGATGCCTTGCTCACGTTCGTGCCTCTAGCATGGACAAGCTCACTGCCCCCACACTCCCCTGTGTCTTCCTAGGTTTCCCCCTCGACTCGTCTGACTGGCACTTTTACCATCCGTCGTCTCACCGTTTCCTTCACTCTCGCGACGTCACCTTCGACGAGTCCGTTTCCTTCTACCACCGTTTTCCCCACCGTGGTCCCCCGGTTACTCCCCACCTGTGTCGTACCTATCTACCCGCAGCAGTCCCCTTGGCAACAAGGCGCGTACTTGAAGAGCATGAGGGTGGGAATGTGGTGGGGGGCGAGCCAAGACAGCCCAGTCATCACGGGAGAGCAGGCCAGACGAGGGAGAGAAGCGGAGGATGATATCCCACCACTCTGAAGGGATAGCATCACCTACAGTAGTTAGAATACGCCGGCTGCAAGGGTAGCGACGGGGAGGGAAACGGCGGAAAATTTCTGTGCGAGAGAGACAGCGGGTCCCTTCAAGGATCAGGGTGACAAGATGTCCAACACGGAGCTGAGCCAAGATAAGAAATGTCTCTTTGACTAGAATACCAAAGGGCTTCCTTTCGTCGTTGAGGATGAGGTGGTTGAAGGCGAGAGGTTCAGCGAGGAGGACCCAGGTTTCAAGACGGGGCGGATGTACAATGGGGTTAAGAGAGATGAGTGCTGCGAGCTCGGCAGTAGCCCTCATAGATGCTGATGACGGGAGGTTCTTGAGAATGAGTGGATGGAGAAGGAAAGTGTGGAGGCCATAAGGGAGGGTCGAGCAAGCTCGGGCGATGTCCTCGAATGGGGAGGGGAGGAACTGATGGCATGCCCACTGAATATTGAGGGCAGTGACGTACTGAGAAGGCTCGATGGCGCCGATACCACCATGCGGTTTTTTGTTTTAGAGGATCTTCTTGGTGAGGAGGCGGGTAGCGATACCATTCTGGCAAAATTTATTGGAAGAGAGGAAATTGCTGATGAGCATATCGAGGAGTTTAAGGTTGGAGGCAGGCGG